CTACGTACGTAGTTTGCTTGTGCTTAATCTTTACCGATTTTACTATGAAATCATATAATATAAGAACTTTTATAAGCCTATTTATTGGAGTATTTCATCAATAGTGTTGGGTCAGAATCTTTTTTTTTGACTCTGCACCAGTGATTTCACTATTATTAGTGAACAATAATGGAATAATTTCTTCATATTCATAGAAATAGGGGACATAATTCACATGGATATAGTAAGTCTCGCTTGGGCTGCTTTAATGGTAGTCTTTACATTTTCCCTTTCACTCGTAGTATGGGGAAGAAGTGGACTCTAGAGGTACTACTGGTTGAGTTAAGGAATCAAACTGTATCAATTGTTTTCTAGATTGTTCTGCAAAGCCCTTTTTACTATTTAAATCATTTTAATTATTGAATTAAATTAAAAAAGAAAATCAAGTCATTTTCTTTTTTATCAAAATATGCCATATCTTTGCCATTGATTTGATTCTTTTGATGGATGCCAGGATTCATATTGAAAAGAATCCAAAATTTAGGAATTAGAAAATCATAAGAGTACGACTTGCCTTTCGATTATTTCAGATTGATTGGAATCAACCCCAAGCAAATCAAATAGATCAAGCAAAGAAATGAAATTGAGATACTATGTACACTACATATAATATTTAATTGATATCAACATCTATCAAAATAAAGATACATAATCTATGAGGATAAAGATAGATATTGTATCTTGCTCTATATTAAGATATTAAACTTGTATCTTTATCTTTATACATTAAAACTTTATACATTACAATAATAGATAGTATGATAGAAAGAAATAGATGAATCTTTCTTTCTACCATACTATCAGGCCTCATAGAAGACTGCTGATTCTAGTCCATTCATTTCAAAGACGCGAAATTGAAATCCTTTTTGTCATTGCTAGTCAAGTTTCATTCAAATTAATCGCTTTGACTGACTGTTTTTACGTAAATTATAAGTAAAAAAGCAGTAGGAACGAGAATGAAGAGTGCAGTAGCAATAAATGCGAGAATATTTACTTCCATAATTTCATCCTTTCGTTTTTTTTTTTGCTTCGCAACAATACCTCGGGATTTAATCCCATAGAGATGATAAATCTTTCGCTTATAAATTCAATGGGATGAATTAGATTTCGATGATATCGAATCGGATCAATATCATGAATAACAATATCTGAGCTATCAAATCGATTCATCGTCGAGAATTGAATAGTATAACATAGGAAGATCTTTTATCCACACACACCGAATACGAATACAAAAACGGAATTCCTGATCCAATCAAAAGAATTCCTTTGCCTTATTTATCATTCTTTTCCACTCTTTCTTTTTTAGAACCTACCGCCTTCTTTGTACAATCATCCGTGAAGTATTATCTGACTGCTTTTTCACTTCCATTATTTACAAAAATAGTTTCTAAATAAACCCAAATAAACAATAGAAACAAAATAGAAAAAAGGAAAAGGTTGAATTCTAATTTTTTTTGAATGATCTAATCTTCTTGGAAAACAAAGAAAGGAAGTGTGAGAAAGACGAGTCCCAGTATAAAAAAGTCTAATATTCCATCAAATTCACTATTTTATTTAGAGTTTGCTCTTTCTTCGACATCGACAGTAATCTTAAAAAAAGCTTGTTCATTCCCTCTCTAAGAGAGGTGAGACTTATTTAATCTTTTTTTTAATCTTTATTTATTTTATTAATATCCTCTTTCCTTTGATTAGAAATATGTTCAATTTATTTTGTATCGTACAAGAAAGAAAGTCCATTTGTATATGTGCTCCCGGAAAATTCTAGTACTCCATTCTATTACATATACAGATGGGGAGCAATCGAAAAAACCAGAGACCCGCAGCCCAATATCTATGGGAGTCTTGAATATGATGGATACTATCAATATTTGTTTGATGAGAAATGAAAAAAGAAAAAAACAAAGATACTATTGGAAATGAAATTCTACCATTTGTATCCCTTAGTCATAGAAAAGAGAGGGGGGGGGTTGATGTATTTTTTTGGATCCGTCGGGACTGACGGGGCTCGAACCCGCAGCTTCCGCCTTGACAGGGCGGTGCTCTGACCAATTGAACTACAATCCCAGGGAAATAAAGTGTACAGCATATATATTCTTATGATTTCATTTAAACCATTTCTATTTCGATTTTAGATTAGAATCCCCGTGTTGTACCAAACAGAGGTGCGAATGATATATTGACATCCACACGGATATGCACTTTAGCGAGAGCAACACAGATTACTGGTAATCCTTTCGTTATTGCCAAAACAATTGATAATCAAATTTTCAATAAATTTCGGTCTTTTTTTTCTTTACTTTACTCTTTTCTCCTTATTAAACTTTATACTTAATGATCCTGATATTAATCTAGATCGTTAGCAAGATCAGAATTTATGTGAACAAAATAAATCGAGCAAATAAAAAAGAAATAGAAATAAAAGCAGGGATATATCAGAAAATTTGACTTTTTTTTTCTT